CCTCTGCATGCCCCTCATTTCAGATGTTGCCTCAGCTTTCTTTTGGATCTTTCTTGATTCCACCTGCCTCCTGAGAGTCACCTTCGCCTACCCCCACACCAGCTCAGCCTCTTAAATCCCATACCTGGTCAGAGAAGTCCCAGGACTGCCAGTCCAAGATGAATATACTTGGCCCACGCTACCCATGGTCACTCGGAATATAAATAAATCCTAAATACCTAAAAGAGGTTATTTGGGATGAAATGTATACATATTTTGCCAAGATTCAGAATTTATCAACCTGCCACTTTGTAGGATTGTGAGGGAAGTAGGTGGAGGTCCCTTCCCTTCAACCAGGAAAAAAACACTCTCTGTGTTCCTGTGAGGCCTGGATCACAAACAAAATGCCTTCGGGGGCCAGAGAAGTGATGGAGATGGCAGAAGTGGACCAGGAAGAGGAGTGGTGGGAAGCATGGCCCACTGGAGAACATCCCCATCTGTCTTAGGTTACTATGGCTGCCATAACAAAGTATCACAGACTGGGCACCTTAAACAACAGAAATTTATTTCCTCATAGTTCTGGAGGCTAGACGTATAAGATCAAGGAGTAGACATGTTTGGTTTCTCCTGACACTTCCCTCTTTGCCATGTGGATGGCCATCTTTTCACTGTGTCCTCATAGTCTTTCTTCCGTGTCTGCCTGTGTCCTCATCTCCTCGTCTTATAAGGATCCCAGCCATATTAGATCAGTGTCCACCCTATGACCCCCTTTAATTTGATTACCTCTTGTAGGCTGTCTCCAAATACAGTCACATTCTGAGGTACTGGGGGGTTAGGACTTCAACATATAAATTTTGGGAGGACACAATTTAGCCCATGACGCCATCTAAAGGAGGAGCCATCACTCGACTTCTGCCAACGTGTGCCATGATAATATGGGTCCAACATTGACATGACATCTTATTTCTCAAGAGAAAACAGAAATAAGGAATTCTGAGTGAAATCCTCACATTTTAAGCATTATTATTTAAGTTTTTATTTCTTCAAAATATACAACCTCTAGTGCCCGCAGGCAGTTAGTCTGTAACCTCTTCAATCAGGTATACAGCTTTCCTTGGAACCCCACAGCTGAGACAACTCCTTGAGATTCTTGAGATTAGGCAGTGTAAGCAGCCAATACCAAGGGCAGAGTGGCCAGCCCTCCGAGTCCCTTCTTTCAGTGACACACTGATCTTGGCCCTGCAATGGAGCAAAGGGCTGAGAGAAGACAAACCTCAGGAAAGAGCACAAAGAAATAAAGTGCATTTCTCCCAAAAGCCTGGGCCCTGGGGTATAGCATCCTGCCCCAGGCTTCCAGCCTGAGTCTTCTTGGCCTTTCTAGGGCAGGAGATGGGACCAGGTGACAAGGAGCCAAACGAGAAAAGGGGAGACTGAACAAACTACCACGTGGAAGGAAGACTACTTCAACCTTTTACCTTTCACACCACAAATTCCACCCCCAGCACAGGGCTAAAAAATGGCATTGACCCACATCACCACTATGGTCCTAAGGGATAGAAGGATGGAGTAAGGATTTGTTTTGTGGAGGACACGTGAATGCACAGAAGAGTTGGGCTCTCCATAGAACCTAGTTGGGAGGCCAATTTTGAGTGATTCCCGGGAAAACACTTTGAATCAATCTGACCTGGCTCTGTCCCACAGATAATCCTATAACCAACCAGGCACAGAAAAGAAAAGATGGCCATCCACATGGCAAAGAGGGAAGTGTCGGGAAAAACCAAACCTGTCTACTCCTTGATCTTACACTTCTAGCATCCAGAACTATGAGGAAATAAATTTATTTTGCCTTAAGGCTCCCAGTCTGTGGTTCTTTGTTATTTCAGAAGAGATCTGTGACTTCTTTGGGCTTCCTTCAAACCTGAGGCAGAGAGGCTGCTTCCTGGTGATAGAGGGATTGTTTGGCCCATAATGGGCATAACTGTGCCAGATTCCATAGCAACCTGGTAGCTGAAGCCCAACAGCCCCCAGAGATGTCTGGTAGGGGGCCAGAAGCTAAGAAGAATGGTAGACAGCTTTCATCTGTCAAATGGACAGGAAAAAGGCCAAGTGCAGAGAAGCAGAGGAGAAATAGTAAAATGAATTTACATGAGCAAGGGCCATCATGTAATCGAGGGATGGCAAACAGGATGGGACGGGGAGTATCAATTTGCACATGCTTTGCAACCTCATAGGGACACTAAAAGAGTGCTGTGATGGATTAGCTCTGTCTTCCCTGGACACAGAATGGGTAGTGGTTGTGAGTGACTGTGCTATCCCTCCTCTAGAAGGGATGATCAGGCAAGACCAACCAAACACCCAGGCTGGAGATGGGAAATGTCAAGGATGTTTCCAGCTATAAGATGCCAGAAGCTACGCAAGGGTCTTAGTACAAGAAGCCAGAACAGAGACAAGGGACTTGCTTGCACCACCTGGACAGCAAAACAAAAACTAAAGAATTGTGGAGGTCAAAGCAGAGGTGGGCAGATCTGGGGTGTCGGTTTTCAGAAGCTAACGAATAACCCCAAAACCAGAGAAGAGGTGAGAACGGGTAGTGCCCCAAAGCCAAAACAAGCAAGGGGCCGGAACACAGGGTAAGTAGGTGAAATGGACAACAGAAGCAACGATGGAGGCATGAGCTCCTGGAGGATGATTTGTTTGCCAGAGGGGTCAGCCTGAGAATAGTCACCGAGGGATCCAGATGCGCACACCTGACAGAGAACCCAGCTGCAGCTGGCTAAGAAAAGGCGGGGCCCCCAAATCACCTGAGGCCCCAGCCTAAGGCAGGCTGGTGTCCCCGTCCCGCAAGCCCACTTATTTGTCCACAAGAGCATTTGCTGAACAGCTGCACCGTGTCAGGAGTGGAGCGGTGACAAAACACACTTGCACCCTTGAAGAGCTCGGAGCAAGGCAGGAAAATCAGACAGGCCAAATCACCACAACGAATGTGCTGAGTGCTGTGATAAAGGTGAAATGCAACCCACCACAGAGGCACAGTGGCAGCAGAAACGAATGCCCATATCTGAAAGCGAGCATGCGCTTGTTGAGTGAAGGAACCAGGGCAACAAATACTTATGGAAAAGTACCTAATATATGCCATGCATTATTATAAATGCTTTATGCATATTAACTCATTTCATCCTCTGAGGGGTGGTATTTTGTTATGACCATTTTACAGATGAAGAAACTGAGGCTTAGATATTAAGTAGCTTGCTCAAGTTCCCACAGCTAGGAAGTTCCAGAGTCACAATTCAAACGTTTGTGGTCTGCTCCCACAGTCTGTTCCTTGCTTCCCCTTAAGGGAAAGGTAGACATGGATGAAATGGTCAGTCTTTAAAGATATTTCAAGATGAAAAGGAACCTTGGAGTTCATTTAATCCAAGTGATACATGGGGTGGGGCATGTGGGCTAATGCCCTCAACCGTCTTCAATTTCCAGATTGTTCTGAAACCTCTGAGACTGCAGAAGCACCTGTTGTTCTCTATTAAGGATTAATATCCCCAGGACAAAATTAATGGGCACCCAGCAAGGATGCTACTCAATCTGAAATTAAGAGCTATCAAGGACAAATGATCGGGATGCTGAGAGTTATCATCCCAATAAAAAGCCATGATCCCCTGCCCGGTTCCCAGATGTGAACAAGTTTTATGGACCTGGAACCTAATAAAGGGGAGGCTGGGTCCTGGAAGGAAGGACCCTATAACATCAGGGCAAGTGTAGCCAGTAAGGATTCCTCCAGTCCATTTGCCATGGGCACCCTAAGGAAAGGGGGATGTGAAAAATCTTGAGGTCTACTGAATATAAGATCTGACTTGACATTTGTAACTGGAGACTCAAAGCACCAACATGGCCCTCCTTTTCTTGAGGACATGTGGGTTCTAGGTAATAAATGAGGGTAGTCTGGCCCAGGTCTGGCTTACACTGGGCCCACTGAATCCAAGGACCCACTGATTGCCATTTCCACAGTCCCCAAATAAAAAAATGGGCGCACATACACCCACATTGGTCTGTGGGAAAGCCAAGTGGAAACCTCTGAAACGACACTTCTCCCAAACCCAGTTCAAAATGGTAAATCAAAAGCATTGTAGCTTTCTGGGGGGATGGCAGGAAACAAATGCTTAAAGGATATAGGGCTCGCAAACCCCCTCTGACCTCCATTTAATTCACCAGTCTGTCCCCTGCGAGAACCAGACAGATCCTGGAGGATGACAGTAAATGACTGCCATTCAATGAAGCCCAAATGCAGCTGCTATACCAGATGTGGCATATTTGCTAGAGCAGATGAACATAGCCTTGGGTATATGGAATGCAGCCACTGATCTGGCAAATGTATTATTTTCCATCCCTACCAAAAAAGAGGATCAGAAACACATAACACTGTATATTTATAGTCTGATTTGAGGGCAGTATTAACTCTCTTCCCTTCTGTCATAACGTAGTCCAAGATAAAAACCTGGACTGGTTAAACATCCCACAGAATATCACACTGGCCCATTATACTAATGACATTATGCTAATTGGATTGGATGGGCAAGGGGCTACTACATTGCAAACCTAACTAAGCCACATGCACTCAGGAGGCTAGGAAATAAACCCTATGAAGGTTCAGAAACCTATAGCCACAAAAAAAAAAAAAAAAAGAAAGAAAGAAAAAAAAAAGGTGTCCAATGATCTGAGGAATGCCAGGTCATCCATTTCAAAATAAAGGATAAATTATTGCATGTTGCACATCTCTCCATGAAGAAAGAAGGCCAACAATGCCTGATTCCAGGAATGGGCTCTTGAGACATATTACTGCCTCTCACCATGCATGAGGATCAGGGCAGTAAGAGTACTCCTGGAAGCCTCTGTGAGTCAGCAATGGCTAGCAATAATTCCACTATAAACAGAAGTGACTAAAACCTCTTAATCCAAAGGCATTCATAACTCCCTTCCCCTTACCAGAATCCCAAAAGGCTATTCCAACACCACCCAACACAAGAAGTAGTTAGAGTGTAGATGTTTTTAAAGGTCGGTCTGAGTGCACACATTGCTAGGACACCTCTTAGAGTCTCGGGAAGGTGTCTGGACACGTAAGGGGGCCCCGGGGTTCACATGCCATTAGCTTCCAGGTAAGATCAATGATGGCCAGGAGCCAAGCCCATGAGCATCCAGGTGGGATGGAGGGCGGGGTGTCAGGCCAAGGTGGAGCTGGGTTGTGAGTGCTGGAGTTTCAGTGCGCTTTCCAAAACTTCTTCTCCATTCCTATGGATGTAAATGCTTTCACCACTGTGACAATTACCAAGGGCTTTTCGTTTGTTTATCAAACTAGGTTCCATCAAATACTCTCATAATTAGGAACAGTTGGTGAAGTACAGGTGCCAGGGGAGGAGCCGACTCTCATTCCCCATCCGAAAAGAGTAACGGAGACCAAGAGTTTGGCTCCTTAGCTTCTACTCTGGGTGGGAATTACAAATATCTGGACATTCTTGCCACAGTCTGCAATTCCAGAGCTTGAGACCAGGCACAAGAGCTTTGCTGCTCCAGTTTTCCCCACCTGCAAATCGATGGTATTTACTAGTTAGTGACTGCTGGATGAATGGCACTATTGAACTGCAAAATATTAGTATTATTGCTTTTCCTCTTTCATCTCATGGGGCAAGATGAATTTGTGACATGGTAATTGTTTCCATGGCAGCAAATCATATTGTCCCAAACAGGGGATTTTATGACTTCATGGCTGGATTAAGAAAAAGGAGAAATCGGAGTGAGAGTGAGAAATTTGCTCAAGCGTAAATATCTTCAATGATAGCGAGGGGAATAGAGCAAATTACAGATAGGCAAAATTGCCGTTGGTTTAAATGTTCTTTTTACAAGTTCATCCCAATGCAGAAGCCCCTTCTCCAGGCGTATAATTTGTATAATGATGCCTCTTTGCTTGAATTCACAGAAGGCTAATGGTGAAGCTCGTCTATTTCGAGACTGTTTCGCCAATGCTATTACTAATTGTTTTGCAGCAAATATCTGGATTTCTGCTGTTAGCAGTTTTGTTGGGCTTTTCTATTTGTTTGGCTTGTTTTGGGGGGCTTTTTTTTTTTTTTACTCCCCCAAGGTTTTATCTACACAAATTTGCTTGAAATAAACCTTTCCAGATAAAAATTGGCTTTATGTCATCTGAAAAATCCATCAAGAACTCTCTCCTCACTAGAGGTATCTGCATTGCCTTCTGTAGGTTCCTATTGACTTCATTCTCATATTTCCAGTCTCTCATTAGTCTCTGTCTATTCCCTGAGAAGAAAGCAAGATTTCTTCCTAATTCTGAAGCCACTTAAATTCACCTTAGTTTCATTTAACCATAAACAACAAACAAAGACTTGGGATTTTAAAATCCTGGGTCTGTCTCTCTCTGCCTCTCTTCCTCCAACCTTCCTCCCTCCCTCTCTTCCTCTCTCTCTCTCTTCCTCCCTCCCCCATCTCTCTTCCTTTCTTTCCCTGCTTCTTCTCTTCTCCTTATCTCACCCCAACCCCACACCACTTTTTTTTCTGCATGGACTTATTTCCAGGACCTTCTAAGAGTAGTGTCCCCCTCTCTTCCTTTTAACCCTCAAATATCCAGAATCTGCAGCTGCCTACTGATTTATAAGCTTCTTGCCAACCAGTTCATCCCGGAGCACCACATGGCTTCCGCTCTCTGAATGTCCTGGAGGTTCACTGCCTCTTATCAATGTCTCTCGGTGATCCTTCTTCGTTCTTATTCTGAAGATTCCACCTTCTTGAATCCTATACAATGAATTACTCCTTGATATGATTCCATAAGCAAGTGTTCTGTGATGGTTGATTTTGTGTCATTTGGGGTAGACTATAGTACCCAGTTATTTAATCAAACGCTAATGTAGCTGTTTCTGTGAAGGCATTTGGTAGATGTGGTTAACATCTACAATAGGTGACTTTAAGTAAAGGAGATGACCTTCAATGTTGCGGGTGGGCCTTGTCCAATCAGGTGAAGGCCTTAAGAGCAAAAACTGGATTCCCTGGAGATGAAATACTGCCTCAAAATTGTAACATCAACTTCTGCCTGAGTTTCCAGCCTTATGCCTGCCTATAGATTTAGGACTTTCCAGAACACCACAGTCATATCTGACAATCCTTAAAATAAGTCTCTGTGTGTGTGTTAACATTTCTCAAAGGAAACCTGATTGACACATGTACATAAAGAACATGCTAGGTGTTCAGTGACATGCTAAGAAATATACTGTGAGGAATACAAAGGAAGCAAAAGATGTGGTCCATTTCCTCCCAAAGAGCTTACGACCCATGGAAAAACCAAAACTAACAGTGCCTAAAACAGTGGCATTTTTTTAATAATAAAAATAGGATTTAGATGTTCTGTATAGATGCCCAGGAGTTCAGCAGAAAGAAGTATCAGTGAGAACTGGAGGAGTCAGGGCACATTTCATGGAAGAAGTGAGTGTTGAGCTGGCCCAGGGAGGATTTTAGGATTGGCACATGCATGGGGGAGATCAGAAGGCATGCAGGCAAGAAAAGCCAAGTAGAAGAAAGCACAGAGACAGGAATCTGTGCGTTCTTGTTACAGGACCAGGAAGACACCAGTCTAACCGGAGTAGGGTGCATTTAGAGAACCTGGAAAGTAAGGTTGGAGAGGCCAGACCGAGACAGAATTTGGGGAGACCCCAATAAACCTGGGAGGACTGTTTAGGCCTTGATGTTGTAGAAAGAAATCCTAGAATTTAGAGAGAAAGAGGACTTATAGGTTGACAAATTCAACCCAAGCGCCCATGGGCGCCCAAGGGACAACCCATTTGTCCCTTATAGGTTGGACAAATTCATGCCCAAGTGCCCATGGTTAGTTAGTGGCAGAGCCAGACAACCAGGTTTCTTGACCCTTTGTCTAACTTTGTTCCCACTACACCTCTCTGCCTCTGTACAGAATACAGAAATGATACCATGAAAATGGTGTCAGGGAGAGATTGTCTAGTTGGTGGACTATGGGAGCAGGGATGAGACCTTAGAAGGGAGGCTCCCAGATGTGGGAAGTGAGGGTCTCTGCCAGGGGAGCATGGGTGAGAGTGAGATGAAGGAAGGACATGAGGTTACATAAATTAAACAGCTTCTTCTCAACCTTCACCTTTCCCACATCTTAGTGGTTACAGAGTCCATGACTCCTTCCTGAAACTGCCACCCTCATCTTCTCTGACCCTTTCTCTCCTCTCTTTATGGGCCTTCTCTGGATCCTTCCTCCTCCTGTCTCATCAGTGTAAGTGTTTCACAAGGAACCATTTTTGGCCATCTTGTCTTCTCTTTTTCACAATCCCTTGGCAATTGTGACCCATCTCTTGACCTAAACCCTTACCTTGGTAATGGCCTCCATATTGCTACTTCTAGGTCTGACCGTTGTCATGGGTTTCAGGCTTACAGGTTTAACTACCCATTGGAAAGCTCCACTTGGATGTCACAATGGTGCCTCACATGCACTGTGACTGCAACTAAACTCATAACTTTCCTCCTCACATGTGGTTCTCTACTCTTCCCTATTTCTGATTTGGGGATTGAACACTTGAGGTCAATATGTCAGTATCATTTTTGCTACTCTTCCCTCTTTTGTTTGTTCTCCATGTTCAACTGGATGCAAAGTTCTGTTCATTCTACCTCAGCAGTATCTCTGCCATCCCCCTGTGGCTGCATTCCCACATCTGCTTCTACTCCTACCACCCACATTCAGGCTGCTGGGGCCTCCAGCCGAGACGATGATGCTGTATCTTGCATTTCTTATCTCCAACCCATTTTCAAAGCTGTAACTAGATTAACTTCCCTGAAACACAGCTCCGATGCATTATTTACCTGCACCGTATTGTTGAATCTTTTCCCCTGCCTTCCAACAGAAATAAGTCTCCGGCCTGTCTTCACCTTCCTTCCAGCTCCCCCCACCCCCACTGCAAGCTCCAGCCCAGCTCAGCGATCATCCTCCCTCCTCACTTATGGCTGCCTTGTGTCTGGTGTTCTGTTCATGCTGTTCCCACTGGCTGAAAGGCCAACCCCAGGGTTAGCATGTCCAAGCATGACCTAATTTTCACGGCCCATCTCAAATGTCCCTCTTTCTAGAAGCCTTCCTGAACTCAAATGGAAGTAATTTTCCTCTCGTCTATATCCTCATAACCTGAATCTGTAACTCATTATTTTCCTCCTTAAAACTATTCCTGAACATGTTTTACCTCTAAGCTTTGGTTACAAAGTCTCTGAGGGTAAAGAAGAAATCTTTATAGCACCAACTCCAAAGCATTTACACAGTGTTTTCCATATCCTAGGCAATAAATATTTCCTTAGTTAATGAATTCTGAAAGAAGAAATTGTAGGACTTGGTGTGGTTTGGGAAAAATTTTAAAGATAGGAATGCAAAGAAATTGAAAGGTTTCAGGCTTAGCTGGGAAGAGGGAAAGTAGTGACATTGGGAGGGGAAAGGGAGTCTGACAGGGGATTTGTGGGCTTTAGGTGACAATGAGATTTCAAAATGGAAATGGCTACCAAACAGCTGGAAATATGGGCCTGAACTCAGATGAGATGCCAAGACAGGGGCATAGACGTGAGAGATAAAGCTCTGGGAGCACATGTGGTCCCCAGTGAAGAAAGTGAAGAAAGAGAAAAACACAGGTGAAGAATCTTCGCCTTGAAAAACAGGAGAACAGAAAACCAAGAAATTGCTGTCAAAGAGGAAGAGACAAGAAGTAACGTTGTAAGGAGGACAGCATTTCCAGGAGGAAAGAGATGCCGACAATATTAGCTATAGAGACATCTGTAAGTCACTTGCCGAATGAATGTTTATTGAACATCTCCTACGTGCCCGGCACTGTTGGATGTCCTGGAGATTCAGTGTTCAATACAACAGAGTCACAGTCCAGTGGGGAAGAGGAGAAAGCACGGATAAATACACATCAGGTGGCAATGAAGTGCCATAAAGAAAAGATAAAGCGGGGTAAGGGGATAGAGGAAGGCAGGGGTGTTATCTTAGATAGGATGGCTAGGAAAGTCCTTGCCATGGAGGTGACATTTGAGCAGAATGCTGAATGAAGAAGCGAGCCAAGTAAATATCTGGGGAAGTGAAGAACCCAGCTGGGGGCAAGCATGGTAGCTTCCTTCTGGGTGTCTTAGCTCACTCTGGTAAGTAAGAGGTAAGAGCATGAGATGAGAAAGGAGAGGCAGTGTGGAGATTTGGGGAAGGACAGACAGCCACTGGCATGGGCCGGGTGAATGTGCATACTGGATGAATGGAAATGGTGCCGATGGAGGCAGAGGTTATATAGATAGGGAACAGCAAGAATCAAGAGTGAGCTGGGTCTTTCTCCAGCAGGGCCTCTGCTTCCAAGGCATAATCCTCACCTGGTTCACCGTCTACCTCCAGAAAAAGCTGGCTCTTCCTGAGTGCCCAGTCAGTAAACGCCACCATTTTGCCAACTCCCTGACAGAAACTTCTGAGAAACCTCCAGTGCATTCTTGGTCTTTTCTAATCCAGTTTGTTAATTAATCCTGCCCTCCTCTCTCAATATTTAGCCTTCCTACCTATCTTTTTCTTTGTACTGTCACAGCCTGAGGACAGACACCGATCCTTTCCCCTGGAAACCTTCTTCCTCCTCAAACTTCTTCCCTCTAAATCTACCTACCCTCCTCCACTGGACCTCACCACCTCGGCCAGAATTACCTTCATCTATTGGTATTGCTTTCATTGAAGCGTCGTTTTTATTTTGCTTTTCTTGGGCTGGGATTCCAACAGCTTTCCGTATCACCAAAGACCGAGCCTGAGGTGTTGAACATTTGTATCGGGAACCAGGGACCTAGGCCCAGCTTAGCCTCTTCACTTGTCCCTCTCCTTGCCCCAAACCTGTTCCCGAGCTGGGCCACAGGCTCAGCCATGCCGTCTGGGTAAGCTTGCTGATTGAGCCAATACCAGCCACAGGCCTCCCTGACTCCATCAGGTCATGTAATTTCCACATTCCCTTCATCTTATAATTTCCACACTCCCTTCATCTTGTCCCCGCGTTGGTGTGCCCATCCTCACCCGTCAGCTCCCCACCCCTGGCACAGAAATGTGACATCAGGGGAGCATGTGACCGAGTATGGTATAAATCTACGGGTTCAACTGTGAGGATGACTCCTCCTCGAAGCAACTGCTTAGATCCTTGATCTAATCATTCGGGGAGGGGGAGGAGGCACTGATGAAACCTGAAAAGCCCAAGCACGGTGATGTGCTCACAGCTGAAGAACCACAGCAAGAAAAATAAATCATAAATAAGTAAAGATGCAGCATTTCTACTCCGAAGCTTTGTTAACAGGCAGCAGCAGGGCAAACCCAGTTGTTACAGTAAACATGTGCTTGACTCTATCAACCTTCGATGGGTTGGAGTTATAGGAAAATGTATTCCCTTCTCAACCCCCAACCCCCTATTCCCATGATAAAACAGCAAAGTCATGGGCCAGGAACTGGGATTTTAGCCTTTCTCCAAAGAATCTGCTCCTGGCTCCTAAAGAGCTGGGAGGTCTCCCTCTGGCCCCATTATTCAGGGGGAATGAACACCATCAGCCCGTGAACTAGCTTGACATAAACTCGGCCCTTGAGACTCAGAACCTGGCTTCAGAAGAGCGGGAGGGGCAGAATACAAGGGAAGAAGAGAGGGTAATAGCCTTCTGGGCTGGCCGATCTGTGCCGCTGCAAGCACCAGGGTAGAGGGAAGGAAGGCCTCAATTAGCCTACCACCTTAAGTAGAACCGGAGAGCCCAGCACCTCTGAGACTTGCTGTGGCTGAGGGAGTGGGTGAGCAGGAGCCCCCGACCATCCCCACAGCTCCCAGGGGACGCCACCTCTGCGCTCCCCTCTCTGCTCCTCTTGGCCTCAGCCCTCTCTCCAGCACGCGCATACACCCACGGTCAGGGACGTTGATGCTCTCCTCCTGGGTGAACTCTCTGGTTTAAGCTCTAAAGGCAACTGAAAAACCTTTAAAAAAAAAAAAATCCCAGGGATCTCTGTGGAGGAAATCTGCTGGAGGGGAAAAACAAAACAAAACAAAACAAAACAAAACCCAGCAACATTTGAGTAGCATCCCCAGCACTGATGGTAGCGTGCGGCACAAAGGAAGGAATCTTCAGCCGTCAGTCCTGAGCGCCTCTACCAGGGAAAACAATGAGGAAATGTCTATCTCGTCTTTGTTTGGGGGGGAATTTCTTAAGAATTCGCGTCCCTGCTGCTATTTTCATTCTTAGCCCAGTGCAAATCCTGAGCCACGCGCTAGAGGTCGCTGTTCATCACAATCCAACCTCTCCTCCCGGTGAGGCCCGACCGCCTGACGTCTTCCCCGTCTTCCCCGCAGAGGGAGCAACCAGCCGGCTCCCGCTGCAGGAAAATCTGCTGGGTCACACCCAGACCAGGTGCGTCAGGATGCACCCACCTGCGAGTACGTTTGCCCTTCCTTACACAGACGGAAGTGTAAAAGGGGGGGAAAGCATATCATCAGAGGTGCTTCAAATTAATTAAGAATTTTTCGAAGCGCTGCATAATTGGTAACCTTTGAACACTTCCCCTATTGCTATGCCTTCCCCTCCTCCACTGCCCAGCTGTATCACTTCTTTCCAGGTGACCCGACAAGCAATTGGAGGAAGGTGCAATAAGACCGACTTGAATAAAAGCCAAGGTTTAAATACCAGCCAAACCTGCAGCTAGCCACGACCACAGACGCCACTGGGTTTTTATCCCTCCCAGCTGGTTCTGTGCCCAGAATATAAAACAGCTAAGAAATAAAATGACAAGACAACAGAGCCGATAACACTGTAAGCAATTACAGCCTCACCTGATGCGGAGATTTCTAAAGCTTCTACTCAAAGAGCAGTATCCAAATCGAAGGCCATTATTAATGACCCAGAGCTCGGCCTGGCGGACTCCTGGTATTCCTTTCCTAAGTCTCCTAATTACATTTGTCTGTCCCTTCTTTAGTTCTAACTTTGGAAATTGCAATTCATTCCACACAGAGCAGTCGCAAAGGCGAGATAGAGGCCAGAGTTGATGTATAAGTCAGCAGTACTTTCGTTTCAAGGCAAGTCACAAAGCATTTATTTATCATTTGCTGCATTTCCACCTCTGTCCTTTACTCTGGATCCAAAGTAGCATCTAGATGGTGACGCAGAGTCGTTACACCTGCGGACACGGGTACAAGACAATGTATCATTCAGCCTTACGATCGTGGCACAGACTTCAAGTCTTCAGGAAATTCCTAAAAGTGCCCAGAGCACCAGTGGAGACAGGCAAAGACTTCTTGCACCCACTTCTTGAGGGTGGTGAAAGGGGGCTAGGAGCACAGGGGTAGGGAAGCAGACGGGAGCCTGGCTTTTGCGAGGGGACCTCCTGCCT